CCGTTAGTTTGCATGATGTGCCTTACAATACGATATAACTAAATTAGAAGCTCGTAAGTATGATTAATAAGTTTCGTTGTTCGGTTATCAAAAATGCTTATTCTAGGTTTTAAAATGAGACCCTCTAATTGATACAATGAGTACCATTATCTACATCAATTAGAGCTTGTCCTTTACAGCGTTGTGCTAAATATTTGAACCACTAGGTTGTTGTATTTTTCTTTTTTTTTTTTGCATCACAGATGCGAGGTCTCATTTTTTGCAACAATTATAACGAAAAAACAGGATTCGGATGGCATGATTTGGCACCATGAGCTCTTATCTTATTTTAGTTTCGAGAGTGATTACCTTTTGCAGGTGAAGCTTTCCTTCTAACAAAACCGAGGTTTTCTGTCTATCAAAATACATAGTAAGAGAAAGACAATTGGAGATCCATCAAACCGCCTTCTCTTGTAAAGTTCTAATGAAAATCTAACGGTTACAAGTATTATGAGCAGCAGCTCAAGAGTGTTTGAATAGTTGACTTTTTTCATTGGATGAATATCAACTGAAACATTTTACGAGATTGTCAAAATTTTCTTTTCTGTTTTCTAAGATACTTAGGCAGAGAAATACATTAAACTCCCTTTCTACGCACGGCAGCGCCCTGATCAATTTTAAAAGGCTCTATAGCTAGCAGCTCTAATCGTACTTGGAAAGAAGTTCTAAAGTCTGTCAATTCTCATAATGACTTATAGCCAGGATGACTACAGTTACTAATGTCTGAGAACTTCAACCCAGAATCCCTTATAGGGACAAATATGACAGCATACGTGAAGGTTTAAATGATAATATGTGTGCATTTATTGAAATGAATGGGATGACTATTTCAGAAGAAGATGGTGATTGGCAAGCCCATAAAGGCATCAAATTATTAAGATTTAGACACGAATCTGATACTTCCGTCCCGGAATTGAAGCCCATAGAAGCTCTAGATGGGTACGATGAGAGAGTTGACCATTTAAGTGAGATTCTCGAATTATGGGCCAAAATTAATGAAGATTTGAATAATAATCAAAGTGATACAATTACCTAGCTACATTTAACATATTTATCATTAAAAGTTATATTTATCATCAAAACTCATAATTAAAAGTTATATTTGGTTCTTTGCCTAATTATATTTTATAGTCAAGTAAAAGTATAACGGTAAGTTTTTTGCAATCAAAGATTCTATTCAAGACGAAAAGCTCTCATAACATATAGTAATATGTCCGAATTCTGAAGTGTAATTAGGCTGCAAATGACCGGCAAATGCAAAAAGAGATATTAATTCTAGATAGTTTTATTTTGAATGAAATTCTATTTCGGCTGATAGCTAGGAGGAGGAGGTTCTGAATTATTATTTGTAAGAATTATATTTGAGTTGAGACAAAGTTTATCAGTACTGTCACCTGGATGTATTCTAAGCTTCAAGTTTATTGATAAAACGTTATTATAAGCAATATTTTGTACACAGAAAGATTGAGTTAATTTGTTTGGTATTTCACAATCGATGTACTGTTCTGGCAATTCAAGCATGTGGAAATTTTCCCGGCTAGCAAGATGTTCAATTTTGGAGCTTATTTTACGAAATGCATCTCCATCTCCATGGTAATCAGCCGGGGTGAAATCGTTCAAGTCTAATTGATAGTCACAATCTTCGTCACGAAGAGTCCATTGTGAGTGCAATTCACACGCTGTCACAGCTGCAGTATAATTTACATAACTCTTTAATGAGACATTAATATGGGTAATATAAATTTTAGCTTGATCCGGATGGGCTTCTTTCTTTGACTCAGCAAAATTTTCAAAAAGCAAGCCACGAAATGCTTCGGGCGTGATTGGAATACCTAGAAAGATATTTATCTGATTCTTCAAGTTGGCTCCCTTTTGAATGATTCTCTCAGTAATTCCCTTTTCAGTCTGGATACTTTCTCCTGACTTAAAAGACATACCGTATTCAAAAGGGATCTTAATACATTTATGAGAGACCAATTTTTTGAAAAAATTTCTTTCAGTGGATTCGATTGGTTTAAACTTTAACCTGGTGACTGATGTCTTAAATGGTGGAAGCAAAAAGCCATCTCTGTTCAGAACGTGGGATGAATCAAACTTTAAACCTGTCCCTGAAGGATGAAAATTAATCCTTTCGAAATCGGACTGAGTTTTAGAAAACCCCGAGGTTTTATGCGCTACCCCAACCACGGCATATTGGATACTAGCAAAATCTTCCAAGTTATTATGGCAAAATGAAGGTGGTAACCTGAAGCCAGAGCTTTCATCTGGGATTTGTATTGAGAAATCATAGTAATAGCTTCCTGTAGTGAGAGTATGCTCATCACTACTCAAAACATGCTGAATATCTGGAGGTGGGAAAAGTTTTAAAGGAATCTCGATGAGTTTTATCGGAATCGTTACAGAATTAAACTCGCTCCGTGCTTGAACTCCACCTTCCGTCCGCTGAACCGTCCTATGATTCTTCGTTATTGAAGTTCCTTCAAATTTAACAATAATATCACGAATATCGGCCTTGTCCGAGACAGAAACAACCACCGTACCTAAAACAACATCACCGTAAGTATAATCTCTCCTGTCGTCTTTGAGAACTATATTCAATTTCATAGACCTCATTGTTTCCCATTGGCGACATTGCAAAACTTCAAAAGAATATCCATTTCTTTATATAGGGCTCGTATACTTTTACGTCAAGTGCAGGAACGAATGACGAAAACAGTAATAAAGCCTCTGCGCCGCATACTCAGTCATGATCAGCCTTTTGCGACCATGAAAAGAGACTAAGTTCCTTTGTTGGAGTCTCGAGACGTGCTAGCGGGGTCATTATCTTATCTGAAGAGGCCATAGAAGTGCTGTCGTCGGCTTAAGCAAGAGTTCCCGTTTTGGATCTATCAGTAGTACCTTGATCCATTGCCAGATGGGGCTGCGTGATTGGCCAGTAGTGACTTCGACTGAGAGAGTATGATCAATAGAAGAATCAGAAGGCTATCAGGGACTTTCCTTCTTATTGATAAGATCTAATTTGACGTTCATGCACTAAAGCCATATATAGCACACCAAGAAAGACTGTTTAAAATGGTTTTATTTAGCTGGAATGTTACATGTTTCGTTCTTCTCTCCTTGTTCTTTTAAATCTTGTTATGTGGAGCAAGATGGACAAAATCCAATTAAGTAAGCTATACAACTTCGGCTCAGACTCTCCATTAGGACGATAACCCCAGTACGTATACACAGCGCTTCAGATGAAGTTTGGCCGGCCCGATCCGAATGAGTCGAGGTAACGTGGAAAGACATCACAGACGATTCCATTACACCACCACCACAACCACCACCACAATACTCCTTGAATGATAATCGTTAGATGCCATCTAACTAAAATACATTTCGCTTAATGGCATTAATTGGTCAATGAAACAATACCAAATTGCAAAAAAAAGGATTAGCAGCCACACTTATCCTCTCACCGCACATGATTGCAAAATTGGAAAAGGTATATATATCTTGCAAATAGGACTCGATTGATAATGAACATGTTGCTTCAACAGACCCAATGAAGTTATCATCAATCTCGTTATCTTTCGCTAGCTTGCTAGCTGTTGCAACTGCTGATTGGCAGTACCGTTCAAGACCCGACTTGTCTCCCCCACAATTGAATATTACTATTCCTCCTAAAGATACCGCTCCTGGCTACTTATTCTTAGCCCCATATAGCGGGTTTGCTGATATTGGCACAACCCATGGTCCCCGTCAATCGGCACCTTATATTTTCACCGACAAGGGTGAATTGGTTTGGTCTGGGTATACTTACTTTTCAATTTGGGCTGCAAATTTTCAGGCTGGTAAAGTTAATGGTAAAGACGTGCTTTTCTCTTTTGAAGGTAGTCACAATCCTAATTATGGTCATGGACATGGTCATATTACTTTCTTGGATCAAAAATATCAAACAGTTCACGAATTGAGAGCTGGTAACCATAAACTCCTTGACAAACACGAGTTTCATATCATTAATGAAAGAACCGGTTTGGTTGAAATATATGATCCAGTTCCAATCGATTTAACTCCTTATGGTGGTACTCCTGATCAACAATGGATTGTTGATGCCAAAGTGCAAGAACTTGATATAGAAACCGGTGAAGTTTTATTCCAATGGTCTTCCTTAGAACACATTCTGCCTCATGATTCTGTTTTACCAGTTTATGAAGGTCAACCTGGGTTCGGTTATAACTCTAGTGATGCCTGGGATTATTTCCACATTAACTCTGTTGATAAAGACGAGAACGGCGATTATTTGATTTCAGCTAGAAATGCTGCTTCCATATATAAAATTGATGGTAAGACGGGTGAAGTTATTTGGAAATTAGGTGGGTTACCTGGTGTTACCTCTTCAGATTTTTCTACTAAGGACAAAAACTTAACTTTCTCTTTCCAACATCATGCCCGTTATTTGTCAACTTCAGAAGATGGCTCTCGTCAAGTCATTTCATTGTATGATAATTCTGCTCATGGTACTGAAAATAAAGATGGCCGTGAAAAAAATTATAAGAAGCAGTCTAGTGGAAAGATTGTGGAAGTTGATACTAAGAATTGGGAAGCTAAACTCTTATTTAACGGACCAGCTCCGGACAATTTGTTGTCTAAATCCCAAGGTTCTACTCAAGTCTTGGAAAATGGTAATGTTTTAGTTGGATGGGGCTCTGAAGGTGCTGTTTCCGAGTTTAATCCAAAAGGTGAAGCCATCTTTCATGCTTATGTTGATTCCGGTGAATTTGGTCATCTTGCTCAAAATTATCGTGCTTTCAAATTTGACTGGCATGGGTATCCTACCGAAGATATTGCTCTTTATAGTGAAGTCACAGAAGACGGACATACTATTGCCTACGTCAGTTGGAATGGTGATACCGAAACGAAAAGTTGGAAATTTTTCAGCGTTGATGAAAATGGAACGAAACACTTCCTCGAAGAAAAGAAAAAGGCTGGATTCGAAACTCTGATAAAGTTTGACAATAAGAAACATTCTAAGATAATTGTTGAAGCATTTGATCATAATGGTAAGGCCTTAGCTGCCTCTACACCAGTGTTTACCCAAAAACAAATCTTACCCTACAAAAAGGAATCAAGCAATGATCAAAGGATTGAAAAGTTAGAAAAAGAAGTCGGTCTTTTAGAATCAGCTTTAAACTATTTCGATTGGAGAACCCATAGATCTTCTTACGGGTTCTAAATATATGAGTATGTTAATCAATAAATGAGAGTATATTCAATGAACTTCTGTAGATTTGTCATTGCCTTGTAACTGTAGTAGCACTTCTCAAAAGTTCAAGTTTGATGATAATAGGTAAACAACATAATGTTGCAATGTTAAAATCACTAACTCTTTGGTGTTTTCAAGCAAAAAAGTTGAAAAAAATGCAAAAAATGCAAAAATTGCAAAAATCAAACTTTTTTTTTTTCCTTTCTTTTTACAACACCAATTCAATACATAGTATCATAGGAATACATATTATGAGAGAAAGATTTAGGCTAGCTTAAAGTCGGTGTGATCCATATCAATGTAATTATCGGATCTTCATTAAAAATTGGTCGCAAATTTTAACCCAAAGCAGAATTGCGAAAAATGATTGTGAAAGTATTTAAAGGATCGATTCATCAAATCAAATGGAACAACGGGTCAATTGCCAGCACTATGTCAGTCAATCCCCAGATCAAGTTTTTTTCAGTCAGTAATATAACAAAAAACACTCCAAACCTGGTCTTTCCAGTTTTGTTGTATAAAAATGTATTGACGGAGGAAATGACGAATCAAAGTATACCAGAAAAAGAAAGACAGCAAAAGGTTGAAGAATTCTTTAATGAAAACACTTGGAGAGTAGAGGTACGTTGAGCATTTTTGTATTCAAAGAACTGAAGAATATTCTAACAATTAGGCAACTTTTCCATGTATAACTGAGACGCATTATCATCCAAATGTTCATGAAGCATATGCGGTAATCCAAGGCTCGTCTACGTTGATACTTGGGTTGGATGTGAGAAACATTCCTTCTAAAATGACTTCTGATCAGCTTGAAGAAATTGAGAAGAAGACTGAGATTCAAGTCAAGCTTGGTGACGTTATCGTAATACCGGCAGGAGTATCTCACTGTTCCAAAAACTATACAAAGAATTATCGATACGTTGCAGCTTATCCAACTAACGGTGAAAAGTATAAATCTGTTGGGAAGGGACAAGTTGAAAGAAATGAAGGGAAATATGATAACCACGATGATATAGAGCAATCAATAAAAGCCGCTTTCCCCTTAGGAGATCCAGTTTGCGGAAAGGGTCCTGGGTCATTGGTTGATATTTGGACAGACAAATTAAAGCCAACTACAATGATCTAACGTGAATTATTTGTCTATAATTAAAGCTATATGAAATTCACTACTCAAAAAAACACCTATTCTTGACGGATACCTTTTACCACAACCGGTATCATACCTCCCGTAGGAATTGTATAGGCTCTATGCCCAATAACACTTAAAAATGTTTTTATGGTTCCACCGTGAGAAGTGATGGATATCACTTGATCTTCGACAGAATTGGATTTATGATGTTCTTCATCCCAATATTCATTAAATAATTTTTGTAAAAACCCGTTTGTACGCAAACATTGTTCATCTGCAGTTTCTTGTCTATCATCAACGTATAAATTATCATTTTCTTCAAAACCTGGTTCAGTGATATATCCATATTTCCCAAAACGTTCCAAAATCTTAGTTTTAGTAGATCTTTTATTACAGATATGAAATCCAATGATTTCTCTAACATTTTCAACGATCAAAGGTTGAGCACCTTTAGGGAAAATATCATTCCATGTTATTAACAAGGTATTACAGGATCTCTGTAACGGTGAAACAATGAATCTTGAAGGAACTGGAGCTCCTTTAGACAATTGTTCTTTCCAAGCTTGATTATTTTCTTTTGCTTGATTTTCACCTAATTCTGTTAATACCGGGTCTGGTCCATAAACAAGGTCCCCATCATTTTCTAATGCATGCCATTTTCTCCTCCACTCAGCAGATCCATATCTTTCAACAACAACATTATGATTACCTTGACCATGACGCGCCAAAAACAACAATTTATAAATTTCATTATCCTGAGCTTGGTTATTCAATTCATTCAATTGGTTTACAAGCTCAGACCACGGTTTGGTAATACCAAAATCACTTTCTGCGTAATTGAATATCAAGTCATCAGTATCAAGATCAGATTGTTTGAAGACTCCTGGAACGGATTCAAACTTCCATGGATATTTAAGCTTTGATTCCAGATCTCTTTCTTGACTTAGTTCTTCTATCTTTTGATGGTAAAGAGGGATTCTTTCACTACCACCCCTTGCATCCGCATAATCTTGTTGTGTGGGTATTAGCAAGGACATCTTACTACTATTTCTCCCTTGGAATTCAAAAATGCTCTGTAGAAAAGAAAAGATGCTATATTTAAGTCGGCCCTTCAGATTTCGGCTCATAAAATTTATTGCGCACAATTTAAACATCAACGAACTCCACAATAATTTTGGCATCAAATAATACCAGAGGTTTTATATAGCTACAAACACCAGATTCCTGAAGATACTACACCTCAAAACTATATAGAATATTATTATTAAAACTAAAACTTCGTAAAAATTCATAAAAAGAAATAATGATTAAAAAAAGAAATAAAGAAGAAAAGAAGATGCAAAAAAAAAGAACCCATCATGATTTCGTAAATAAACCGGTATGTTCGATATTTTGGATTTCGTTACTCTTATTGGTATCCAATTTATATAAGTTTCTATTTTCATGAGCAAGTGTGTCTGATTCAGCTCTTAACTTGGCCAAGACGAATTTGTGAGCTCTATGAGCAGGTAATGAACGGTCAAACAATTTATCCATATCTTCAAGGGCAATCCCTTTAGTTTCAGGAATGAAAAAGAAAACAAAAGGAATAGATAAAGCAGCCAAAGCAGCAAAGAAAAAATAAATCCCGTATTGCATTGATTCAATCATTCTGGTAGTGAATCTTGACATTATAAAAATAGGAATCCAGGAAACTGCAGCATTAATTGCTTGAACAAAAGAACGGATATTTTGATCGAAAACTTCACTACCAACGACAAAAGGACCACCTGACCAAGCAAGAATGAAAGAGGCAATCCAAAGATACATAAAAACAATGGCAGCTGTACCACCAGGGCCAGCTTCAACACCTTCTTTAGTTGGATCATTAACTTTTAAATAAGCACCAATATACCAGAAACAAAGCGAACATACAAAGGAAGAGCACATGAAAGCCTTACGTCTTCCAAAAGTATCCACAATAAATAGGATATAGATAAAAGTACAAACGAATTTCACCACCCCGAATAAACCTGTTGAAAAAAGAGTTGAATTAGTACCTTTAACTCCTAAATTTTGAAAAATAGTAGGAGAATAATAATTAATAGCTTGAATACCCAAAAAATTCTGGAATAAGAAGAGACAACACGTTAAACATAAGCGAAATAAAATTTTATGATTTTTGAAAAAAACTTCTTTGAAAGGATCCCATAATCCAAGCCCAACTTTTATATTTTGTAAGTCAATATTTTCTTTAACTTGATTGACTTCATAAATAATATATTCATCGTCTTCAGGTAAATTTCTAAACCAGGTTAAATTTTCAATTGCCTTATCGTATTTACCAATACTGAATAACCAACGAGGGCTTTCTCGCATAACAACACTACCTAATAAGAACAAGCCACTAGGAATAAGCTGGATTGCAAATGGAATAAACCATTGTTTCTTAGAAGAGGATATGTGCGAGTCAACCCCATAATTAATCCAAAAACCAACCAAGTCACCTATACGCCAACCAATTTCATAACATGCGATCAATCTTCCTCTTTCCGCTGGAGGAGCTATTTCACTCAAATACACTGGAGTTAAATTAGTTGAAAACCCGACACTCAATCCAGCAAGCACTCTTCCAACGTATAAAGGTGCTAAACCATTTGCCTTCGAAGCAGCCAACATAATAGCAGAACCTGCAGTAATGGCAACAGCCGCAATTATAAGAGACATCTTTCTTCCCAAGTAATAGGAAAATGGATATGATATTAAAGCACCAAAGAAACAACCAGCGTGGAACACAGATATAATATTCGATATGATATTATTTGCTTCAACGCTTGATTTCCCATCCAAGCCAAATTCCAGCTTGAAAGAATCAAGAGCAACGGTTCCTCCAATAAAACCTCCATCATACCCTATAATGATGGCAGCAGACGATGCCAAAAATGCAGTCACGTATATTCTCCAATTATAAACCTCACGGGGCGTAGGACGTTCTTCTACTCTTTCAAACAACTTTTTCAACATTAACGTATCCTTAACATTTTCATAAAAGCCCTTCAGCTTTTCTTTGGAATGGGAATTATAGTTTTTTATAGATATGGATGCATCTTCAATCTTCGACTCGATACTGTTTCGATTAGATTCAATATGGTCAAGCGTACTTCCTCCTTTATTACTCGACATTTCCAATACTTGATGATGTCACACACAGCAATAAAAGTCTTCCATAATCTGTCAACTCTACTGGAAACTCTGGGGTTTTTATAATGACTTTTATTAATGAACAAACCCCAGCAAAAGGGCAAGCAAAAAAAAACTCTGCTCGTTTTTTTCCGTTTTCGAAACAATCTTCCATCGATCTTGCCTCTCTGCACCAGTTCTAAGCTTCATCTCTTACAAAGTTAACTAATAAATGGGTTTGTATTGAATAACATGAGGCCAGCTAGCGCATGCCAATGGTGCAATACCCCACAAAGCTTGGGTCCGGTACCCCAGATTTGCATTTTTGAACATAGTTTTGAGTATACATTTGCTACAAAAAATGGGGGATCTCCCATGCCAGATCCCCCAAACCAGACGGCTGGTAGAGTGGGGGTTCCTTGGGGGATACTCTTTAGATTTTTTTTTTTTTTTTTTTTCACAAAATATATTGGAGATTTTAATGAAAAAATTTAAAACTGAATAATACCATTCTTAATTGAGTTATTTCAGAACTGCAACAAGCTTGATAAGAAAAGGTGATTAGAACCCGTAATCACCTAACTGAATTTCTAAGGATTCGATTGTTTTGGAAAGTTCTTTATCATTTTCGATCAAAGGAGTCAACTCATCGAATTTTCGTTGCTTTTTAGTATCTGAGATCATATTACCAATTATGAATTTTTGTTCATTCATCACCATCAATTGCTCTCTTAGTTCTCTGATTTGTTTTTTGGTAAGTTGGGCTTGGGGCGGTGGTGGAGAAGCTGGTGTTGGAGTTGGGGACTTAGGAGTTGGGGACTTAGGAGTTGGGGATTGAACGTCAAGATTATTTGGTGATATGGATCGGTTAAGTTTTGCTTGTTGTAATATGCGATTTTCTCGTTCTTTAAACAATTGGTTTAATTCTTTATAATGTAAAAGGTGTTCTTGTAAGTAGATTAAAAACCCATTATGAATGTTATTAATCAAAGGAGAATAAGTATGATATTCTTCATTAACGGAAAAAGTTCCAGTTTGGATGTTTTTATTGAAAAAGCAATATTTAAACCTGTTAACTGAATCTTCCAAATCTTTTATGAACCCCATGAGTTTGTTTCTTAGCTTATTAATTTCATTTAAATCACTTTCATCATCTTCAATCAATTGTTTGTATTTTGAAGTGACTTGGTTAATATTGTTTTTAATCATTAGTAGTTCATCATATTTTTTAAAAATTGGTTTTTGATCATCACTATAATCGTTCAAACTAGATAATCTCCAATCAAATAATATTCCATCTTTACAATTTTTACAACATCTAATAGAAAAATCTTTGACGAAATTCTCATTGATTTCCATTAGTTGATGCCAATTTTCTCTAACTTGCAAGGAGTAATTTAAGTTTGATAATTTATCAAGCAATTTATTGATTGGAACTATTATTGAACAATTTTTGCGTTCACCAAACGAATCATCACAAACTATTTGTCCACATAATCTGCAATGATGTTTTCTTATAATAAAATTAAATTTTGTAAAACAAATTGAGCAATTCAGATGCACTTCATCACTACTCCAATTATCTTCGCCAACTATTGAAATTTGCTCTTGTAGTAATATTTCTTTATTATATTTTTCCTGATTAGAAACATTGAAAATAGATAACATATTGAAACTTATTAATGTATCGGATTGATTATTAATTTTCCAAAGGTAATTATCAGCCATTAAATTAACTAGCTTGATAAATTTTTTCTGTAATTTAATTCTATTAATCTGTTGTTCATCAAAAGATTCTTGTCTTTTCTTTTTAAATTGTCTTGTTAGGTCATTATATTTTATTGAGGTACCTTCAAATAAATCTGGTTTATTAAAATAGCAGTTTTCACAGCATCTACTCCAAACTCCTTTACTGGAAGCTTCATAAAGCGGTAACTTTTTAGCAGTAGTTGAATTTCTTAATCTGATTTTATAATGGGTATGTTGATTACAAAATAAGTCACCACATTTTCGACAGTTAACCATTCCATTTTTAACATTTAAAACTTTGTTACATTGAGAACATCGATTTGTTGAAGATTGTGACGGTTGTTTCCAATGGCTTCTATTAATTTTTGAATCATCGATCTTTATATCTTTACCGCCGAGTTCTTCATTTGATATATTATCTCTAAAAGTAAAGCCTTTATTATCATCTAATAGATCCAAGTTAATCGTTTTCTTCAGTGGAGAATTTATAGTTATATCAGGTACATTTTCATTATTAGTTTTACCAGTAAGCCAATTTTTCAAATCTTTACCAATGGAATCACTATTTATCAATCTTGGTAATGTTAATTTGGAATCTTCTTTGTCATTATCTTCAAATGAGTGAACGTCATCTATATGTTGATTCAATTGGTTCAAAGTTATCATATTTTCATTACATATTGGACAAGTTATATCACTGTTACTTATCAACTCATTGGGTTGGTCAATCTCGTCACTCGAGCTTTCTTCTTTGATGGGATGGTCGAGGTTCACCCCGCGATCGTTTTGCTTTAATCTATTTGGAGTTGGACTCAATGCATCGCCCTTTTTATCAACATTACTTGCAAATAGCGATTGGCCTGATGACTTATTATTCACATTTTCAGGTGACTTGAACGGCGATCCGAGAATTCGTCGCTTACTCGACGAGTCTCTTTGATTTGCGGACGATCTCCCGGTCATTCTATACAATTATACCGGTCTATTCGAAGTTATATTCATAGTATTCTTCTTAACCGCCGTCAAGAGGTAGTTTCTGATATTTCGAACTTTGTTAGCGCGGGATAAACGCTGTCCCTCCCTCGGAACTCAGCACCAATTACGACCACGCCAACCGTACGAGTCACGTGATATTTCTACAAATCAATACCGAAGAATATGTATATTCTAAATACTTTTAGATTAGTTTTTAGGTGTTAATTGAACTTTCAATTAGTAGATAAGTTAAAAGTACAGTCGATGAAGGCATGAAGGGAATATATAAGATTCGTATAAATGGATAAATGGATGGTGGGTAGTATTCATGATAATTCATTAGATGTAGACATTTAATCTAATTTTTGAATCAAAGACTCTAAAGCTTTACCGATATCCAAGTTTGGGTCTTCCCAGTTGATAGAACCAGATGCTGGGGCAGCACTTTTGGCCGGGTGTAACTTGGCATATTCTGCTTTAGCTTGTTTTATTAATGCTTCTTCTTTCTTATAAGCAGCATCAACTTGTTGTTGTTTGGCGGTTGATTCTAACCCATATCTATGGTAAGCACCGTAAACGATACCAAAACCTAAAAAGGACCATCTGAGGACGTTGAATTGAGTAGACATGACGAAGATGTTGCTGACCTAGACTATCTGACTTGAACTAGTATATCGTTAAGTTTCTTCAGCGATTTTTCCCTGAATTTTTTTTTTTTTCACTCTTTTTTTTTTTTTCCTAACAAAAACAAAAAAAATCATTTTTTCCTCGGAATTGTAAAATTTCATTGGTTGAGAAATTGTAATTTTGGGATGTACGGGTGTTGCGAGTAAAACCGAGTACGAGGAGTAAATTGATGGACTAAAGAGTTTTGATAGTTAAATAGCAGAATGACACTTAGTATATTTTAGTAACTTGAGAAAGTAATGTACAACTTCCAGCTCTATTGAGAATCTTCTTGATGTTCTCGTGCATAGACATCTCTTGACTAATTTGAATATTTTCTTTTGGGTGACAAATCCACCTTCGGGTTCATTTATGAAAGCCCTTTTATTCGTGTGACTCCCTCATCATATTGCAGTGACTTTCACAAAAACTCACGCATCATTCTTCACTAATTCGCTGTAATCCTTCCTCTGCCTTATGCATAATCATTTACTTATTCCTCCTTTAGTTGCAAATTTTATTTATTGTTTCTCATTCTGAGATTTACTTAACATGCTCCAAATTGCAGTTTTACTGTCTTAACCTGTAAAAGACAAAATGATTATGTAATTCAAAAATTTTTTTTGGGATGTACGGGTGTCAAAAACTTCAACTACCTGCATACAAGCGCGTGGCCTGGAAAAGACAGCACGGGCTGATAGCAGGAGATCTTCGACCGTGTTTAGTCTGTAGGTATAACTAGGCTCTTGCTGCTTATGGTACGGAAACAGAGTCGGGTAAATAGTGTTTTCTTTTATTTGGTAGTATTTTTGATATCGATGTTGCTATCGTTTGGAGCCAAAAGGGCCTTCCCAATCTCTAAAAATGTTTTAAATCTCGCTAAAACTACTCCGATCACAAGTACTCGTCCGTTGAGTTTCAGTTCATGGGGGGCAGGATCTGATGGTACTGCTAATGGTGATAAGAAAGCTTATAGCACTCATACCAATAATGATGTTGGAGCATCCAGTAGTTCCACTGCAACTGCAACAACAACTACATCATCTCATAACTATGAAAGTGCTAGTTTTAAATCATTGATTAATTATGATGTATCGGTTGCATTTCAACCGAAAAACCGTACTGAATCGAATTTGTTCAAGGCCAAGAACTCTCCCAAATCGACTTCCGCCATTGAATCACCATCTGGTGAAGATAATTTGTTTGTCTCTCAACAATCGGAAGATGGATATATTTCTCTAGGTGTAGCCGATGGTGTTGGAGGATGGTCTGAAGCAGGGTATGATTCAAGTGCTATCTCAAGAGAATTATGTGCTCAAATGAAGGCAATTTTTGAAAATTCAAATGAAAAATTATCATTAACTCCAAAAAATTTATTGAATAATGCTTTTGATAATATTTTACAATCGCCAAAAGTCGAAATCGGGGGTACTACTGCTTGTTTGGGAATCTTAACTCCTGATTATAAATTAAAAGTTGCTAATTTAGGTGATTCTTGGTGTGGTGTATTTAGAGATTATAAATTAATTAATGAAACTAGTTTCCAAACCCATAATTTTAATACTCCTTATCAATTAGCTAAAATTCCAAAACAAATCATGAAACAAGCCGAATCTCAAGGTAAAAGATACATCATTGATAATCCAAATATGGCTGATGAATATCTTTGGAACTTACAAAAAAATGATATTATTATTTTCGCCACTGATGGTGTCACTGATAATGTTATTGCAAGAGATATTGAAATTTTCTTACAAGATCAATTTGATTCAAATTCAAATCCTGATTTAGATAAAATTTCGAAAAAATTCGTTAAAGAGGTTGTTAAAGTTTCTAAAGATCCTAATTTCCCAAGCGCTTTTGCTCAAGAATTGAGTAAATTAACTGGTCAAAGATATTTGGGTGGTAAAGAAGATGATATAACCGTAGTTTTCATTAAAGTTACGTAGTCAAACTATATATAATATTGTGCACATCTCTATAATAAATAAATATCCATTTCTTTATACATCTTTTGTAACTTATTCATCCATACTCTCAACTAATGTCATAATTCTTTCACGTTGACTCTTCATTTCTTCCTTCTCTTTCATCATATTCTTGGTAAATGTATTATCCGATGGTAATCCAAAATTCTTAATGTCAGTAGTCTTTCCTTTTTTAGTTAATAGACTGAATGCAATCTTGCCCTTGCCTCCGGCACTAGTTTCAGCTTTTGGATTCTCACGCTTTAATATTTGCGATGGTAAGGGATTTAATTGTTTTGACCTTTTGCTTTGATTTTCTTCAAATGATTCATTCACCATTTTCTTGAATTCTCGATCAAGAATATCGGCAAACTTAGCATCGTCATCTGGATTAAATTTATTTGTCTCTTCTTCCTCTTCTTCATAATCCTCTTCCTCATCGTCATCATCGTCATCGTCATCATCGTCGTCTTCTTCGTCTTCAGCATCGTCATCATATATTACCTCTTCCTCACTATCATCTGAATCAGAGTCATCAGATTCACTTTCAGCTTCTGGCTCAATATCATCAGCATCGCCAATGACTTCATCTTCCTCGTCGTCTTCGTCTCCTTCTTCTTCATCAGTAGCTTGTGTCTTTTGCAATCCTTGTTTCTTGATAATTGACTGTAGCTCAACCAAAACGTCATTCATGGATGGATACCTGGTCAATTTATCTTCGCAAAGTTCTTCACATTTTTCAAATGTTTCATTGATTCTAAATCCCAATTCAATTGGTATTGGTTGACTTTTACATAAAATATAATATTGGAAGAAAACCATAAACACTTTCAATAATTCTTGGTTCTTTCTCTTTAAACTATTCAATCTCTTCATTCTTCTTTCAGAAACCCTTTTTTGTGGTACCTCTTCTTCAAGGCTGACAATGGATTTCAAAGTCTTTAAAAGGACACTCACCAATTGAATTCTGAAATAGTTGTCAGGTGAATCAATAGAAACCTTATAATTCATCGGGAGTGGTTGATTGTTAGGGTGTCCAAAACATAAAATTTTATATAGAGCATCGTTAATCAATGTAAAGCTGATTAAACCATCATTAAAAGCTGATCCGAGAAATGTCATTTGAGATAATCTCAGACGATTATATCTATAATCATTTAATTCCATTCCTCTCAAAGTGTTTTCTAAAATAGCGTCAATTACTCTTATTAATAAAAATCTCATAATCAGTGGTTTGGATAATTTATTTAATACATTTGACAAATAAGGTATAGATTCAAAATTAGTCATTTCAGGTTTTGACATTACGTCAATTAAAATCTCTAATAAATCTTCTTGTTTAATCCAATCAATCGATTTTAATATATCGGTAACTGTTCTACTAGTTTTATCATTCAATTGATATCTTAATAGTTGAATAATAAATTCTTGTTGAGGAGTATAATCTGGTTTTTTCATACCACTAACTTTAGTTTGTGGTGGTTCAATGATGTACAATAAGTTTTTAATACCTAACTTATCATTTACATTTAATTTATCATCTTTTTGTTTAAGTTTCAATAAATCGACCATTTCAGTCATTAATTCACTATATTCAGGTTCATTCAATAAGAACAAACCACTCTTTTCATAAACAATTGACAAAATATCCATATTATTAGTTGAAGTTAAGTCAAGGGTAAGTCTTCTGATTTTATGGAATATGATATGAATTGGTACTAATTTGAACTTGATTAATTCAGTGAAAAAATTGATATTTTTAAAATTAATAGTATTTCTATAAAGCTGAGATCTAAACCCCTTATCCAATTGATCAACTAACTCGTCAATTAAGTCTTTTGATACGGAACTAGTTATTTTCAAAAATCTAGCGTAGAACCTTAAATTATCAATATTGTCAACTTCCATAAAAAATTTTAGCAAACGGTTTTTAGTAGCTTTATTATACAAATTCAGCTCAAAAAACTCGAGGGCTAATAAATCTATTTCTTTATCAGTAATTGCTTTTTCTAATTTGGTAATGAAATTTTGAATACGTTCACCATCTTTGACTGACTGGTCCAAATTTAATTGATCACCATACAGTTTCTGTAGTTCTTCTAAAGTTGGAATGATTGTATAAAAAAATTGTTCTTTTATATCACCCCAGACTTTGAATTCGTCTTCATTAGCTGATTTACTTTTCACTACCTCAACCACAGATTCATCATTAACCTCATTCTTTTTGAACTCTTCCAATTCAGGTAATTCAATATTTAAAGTAGAAGATAAGAATTCAGCACCTGATTTCAATTTTTCATAGAGAGATTCAACATCAGATAAGTTTTCAGTGGATTCATCTAAAATTTTACCAGTTCGGATACTGCGTTTAAAGTTTTGTTTCAATATTTTATTTCTTTCAGTATTTATATCAACCAAAGACTTCCAAACGAGCTTTGAATAAGTTGAAAAGATCAGTTTAAGATTTGACCTTAAGGTATCATCTAATAAATCATTATCGGTATAGATTATTGAATGAAATCTTTTCAAAAAAATTTGAACAATCGTTAGTGAGTTTGATAAAGATTCATAATTAAGGATATCTTTCAAAGTACATATTATTAAGGGGTCACTAGCATTCTTAATATATCTTTTTATAATAAAATCAGGTAGTAAATCTTTATGACAATCTTTGATGGTTCTGAATACACCAATTATTTGAAATTCCATTAATAAACGTAGCAAGTTTTTCTGTTTGCTAGATTTATCCTCGTCCTTATTCTGGTTTGTTATACCGGTTAAGAAGTTACTCAATAATAAAGGAGTGAACTCGATTGAAAATCTTTGATGTAAAGCACTTATTATTTCGATTGCAGCCAAAATATCGTCATTTTTATTTACTTTTACCAAACCCTCTGAGATGGAGACTATGATTTCAGATAAGTACTTTTCCAATGATAAAGTTTGGATATCTTTTAAGATATTTTTATATTGGTCCTGGTTGATCGAAATTCGAATTTTCTTAATGAAGCCGGTGTTTTTCTTTAAAGATGAATCGAGTTTTGCATTCGAGTTAAATACAGCTTCACCATTCCAAGCCCTGGTATTGAGGTCATACAACTCCTTCCTTCTTCTATCAATATCTTCCATTCTTGAGGAGGAGTAGAAGACGATATTTTTCAGATTTTTTCAGATTTTTTTTTTCTGTCTCGCTCTGCTTTACCAGAAGCACAAGAATATAGTTACAGAACTTATAGATGATAATATAGTAAGATGGATGAGATTAAATATATTTACAAGAATTAGAAAGTATTTACACCATTGGAGCATCTTTACGGACTCTGTGGAAGACCTTAGGTTTTGGTAAGCCATAAGAGAAATTAGTAGCTTTTACTGATCTATCGAAATGTTGTCTCCATATATGAGCACCAACTGGGGTTAAGTTAAAATTTTCAGTGAATTCTCTTATATTGAAATAATCTCTGGCTATTTCAGGTAAGGAAAATTTTTTACTTTGTTTCAAGACCCATAAACAAGCTCTTTGATTTGGGATATTTTTTTCTGGAGTTAAAGGTTGGTAAGATTTGAAACACCATTCGTTTTCATGGTTTAATAATTTTTCAGTGTTTAAAGTATTATCGATATTATTTAATTTAACATTGGACAAACCGTAGTTCAAACAGGTTTTGAAAGAGTTTGTTGATAAATCTGGAACATCAGGGTTAACAATTAAAATGGTGTATAATTGATCTGAGTTATCTAAATTGTCAAAATCAATAATTTTAATGGTAGGAGGTTTATTAACGGCAAAGGCAGGAAGTATTTCACCAGGAGTGATCCAATTTGAAAAAAGTCTATCCGTGTTATGAGGGAACTTTATTTGAATATGACATTTTGGATCTAAAGTTGGTAAAGTATCAGGGATCATTTTCAATGTTTCTAATCTTTGCATAGTAAGCATTAAATCTTTATTTTCCCATTGTTTTTTGGTGAAATGCTTATAAACCGGTTGACTTAAATCAAGTTTATCGGAATGAAATTTAACGTTATATAAAACTTCTGGATTATATTGTTCTGCTTCAATTAACAAATCATTTTTTTTAACCAAGTCAGTTTCTTGGTCGATTTGTCCGTATATTTTAGATGCTTCGTTTTCTAATAGGTCGTATGCTTGTTGGAAAGTATCATCAATCAACTCTGGAGAATGATACGAGGTTTTCAAAGAAACATCTTTAACTGAAGCAGGTCCAACTGCTGGATTGATGGGATTGAAGATGTCTGACTTATTTTCTGGAGTAAAAATCTTCAAACTCGAGGATCTTTTGGAAAATTCAGACCAAACTCCATTAGAACGAGAAGAAGACGAGAAGCCTCTTACTAATCTTGGGAATCTTAACATTGTTTGGGGGTCTTGATGGGAAGTTATTACTCTAAGATGATAAATTTTTCACTGAGAACCAAATAAAAAAAAAAAAAAGTGAAATGGACAATTAAAAGAGTACTCTAATTTACGCGCAGCGCCCATACTTAAGAACGTGCTGAGATTTACACACATCAATACTTCTATACATAATTGCAAAATATATATTAATTGAAAAAATGGGTAAAAGGCAAGAATTGAATACATAAGACATAACAAGGGGGAGGAGATGCAAAGGGGGTTAGTCATCGATGATGGTTGGATTCAAAGGTAACTGATCAAAGGTCATAAATTGATCATCATTATTAATGTTCATACTAGGGAATAAACCAGGACAAATCAAGTTATCATTTAGTTCATCTTCATCGATTTGATCGGTGATTTCATCTTCTATCTCATCGTAGTCGTCATAATCATCATCATCATCGAAGTCATTGAGCAAATTAGTTGAAAAAGAAGTGAAAGTTGGAGAAGGAGGTTCTAAACTAAAGTCAACTGGTAAGCTAATTGAAGAATTTGAATTATTATTCTTTAAATGATTTAATTTGAAAATATCAATGGGTTTTAAATTCATAAGATTAGGTCGTATATAAATTAATGAATTATCAGATAATGATCTTGTAATTTGGATATCTTCATTATTATTTTTAATAATTGGAGTGGATTTTGAAGTTGTTGAAACTACTGGGGGAGGAGTTATATTTGATCTAGATAAATCAATTAATTCATAATCATTGGATTCCATTTGATTAAGAAATTCATTATACAGTTCAACTGGGTACAGCATTTTGAATCCCCAAGATGAAGATGAAGATGAAGATTAAGATGAAGATGAAGACAAAGATCAAGATGAATAATTTTTGAAAGGTTCTCAAGATGAAACAAAAAAAGAAAACACACTTATTAATCTAATAAATTCCGTTGATTCACAATCATAAGGCATTATCATGTTGCCTTATGCGGTTGTGGTCGCTGTACTAATAGCACGGGTATCGGCATTTGCTATTTCACTAATTTAATTATTATTCTGCTCCTTAGACAAGAGTTCCATTCCGATAAACTATCCTTATCCCATGCTGGCACTCTACATGGGGTTGCTATTATAACTGCTATATTCATGTAGTGCCATAACAGTTTCGCAGTAGCAAATCCTATTGTTTTCTCATCGATAAACGGCACTAAAAAAGCAAATTCAAACAATACTCAGAGTCAGATCCTTTAGGTCCGTGACTAAGTGGATGCTGGTGTAAGGGTCGTTATATTGAACTACTTATTAAGGGGAAACTACTTATTGAATGAAAGAGGAGGAGTGGGCACTCTTTCTCCTTCTCTTTCACGATTCAGACTTAATGCAATCACTTTACCTTGTAATTCTAAAGTATAATCTCTTAGTTGTAAATTTTCTGCTCTTAATTCTTCAATGGTTTCCTTTAAATGAACAACTTCTCTTGCAGTAGCTTCTAAATCCTTGACGTATTTGTCTTTTCTTTGTCTGAACGCTTTTTGAGCATTTCTATTTTGCGCAGCTCTTTTGGTCCCCGATATTGGTCTCCCATTATGACTTAATTCATTTTCTTCGCTAGAATGATGACGTATAGGTCCTCCAGTAGACCCGCTTCTTTCCTTCAACCTGCTGGCATCGGCTGCAGCAGCAGCAGCTACTGCTGCCACTGCTTTGGCATCGGTTTGTTCCTCGTGGGGGTGTTGATGCTGTTGATGCTGCTGCTGCTGCTGTTGTTGCTGCTGCTGCTGCTGATGTTGTTGTTGACGCTGTTGTTCGTCTTCATGTTCTCGCTCCTTTTCTCTTTCTCTCTGCTGCTGTTGATGTGCCTGTTGAATGTGTGCTGCAAACTGTGCTGCTTCTTCTTCAACATCATGTTCTTGATGCTTGGTACTCCGGTTGGCATTAGCCACCGCCGCGGCCGTCACATCCTCCACTGTAGGGAAGTCCGGGTCCTGGTGTCTCGCAAACGTTGGGTCAATGTGCTCTTCATTATTGGGATTTTCATCCTTCCACTGATTAAAGTTATTCATTCTTGCAACCAGTAGCTGTACTTGAATTATGTAATTTTGGTGCTTTTCTTACAAATCAACGGTTTGTTTTTTAATGAAAAAAAAAACAAAAAAAAAAACAAAAAAAAAAACAAAAAACAAAAACAAAAAAGGGTTGACACACTACCATCACGTGACTGCAAAACACCCATGCACCAGAACGAGTTTTTGTGAAACCGATTAAATCCCTTAAAGATAAACTCCACGAGACCTTAGTAGAGGTTGAAAACGATAAACCATGTTGAACAGCCCCCGGTATGCATTGAGTACGCGTAAGACGAGTAATTTTTTCCCCAGTGAGTCCAACGGACAGAGCTTGAATCAGATCATTGATATAAACTCTGATTTATTGAGTAGTCAGCTTGATAAATTATCGATTGATAAGCCGTTTAGATCAATATGGAGTCAATCGGAGTTTGATAAACCCATGGTTCCGAAGTTTAATATCTACTCGGAGAAAGTGAATAATCCAACGTTTATACCAAAGAGTAATTTAAGTAAAGCAATTGAAACAAAATTAGGGAAGATTCAAATCAAACTACCTAATTCAAATCAAAAAATCAAAAAATTAGGTAATAAACGATTATTTAATCACTTAGATGATTCATTTATTAATTATGGTGAAAATTATGTTTCCACTTTTTACAAACGGAATAAAAATCGATACATGTTTATAAAAGAAAACACAACTAGTTTAAAAGTGAATTCGGTTGGCTCAAAATCTTGGGTTGTGATAAAGTTGAGGTTGAATAACAAATTAGTGAAGAAAAAGCTAAAAGTTGATATTAACCAACTTCCAGTTTGGAACCCAATCCAAAAAAAGCAAAAGTAAATACATGATTGTTAAAACTTATCATCACCAGGTTAACCTGGGGAAATGAAAAGACTAGCATTCATGTTGATGCTGAACTTACAAAAGCACTTATGATTTTAGTGTAGACATGAATATTATAGAAAATCTACCACACTAATAGACTTTATGATATATTGTTCAAGACTAATTGAATACACTTGGTTATGCTCATATGGATACTGAATTGAAACATGGACAATCAAGTACATTTCGTGGTATTATAACTAATGCTGAAGCACATACAAGAATGGACAGTACATAATACGAAGAAAACTGCTGATGTAGATGTTAGTATGCATACAGACGTGTAATACGAGTATATTCTTAACAAGTTTATTTTGCAGCCTGAGCATACCGTTTGTCACCTTGAGCGAATTGCTATAGACTCTCGTTGCAACAATTATGTTCCCAAATATGGGCTTAAAAGTTCCGAAATTAGATGAATACTGGGAAGAACAGATGTTCTGATGTAGACTTAAATATCTTTAGTGAATGATTATTTATTCCAGCGTAAATGTAGCATATTAGATCTTTCCATATACTTAGGAGAGCTTTCGTAGAAGGTAGAGCATATGGTGGGTGCAATACTTTGTAAATATCAAAGAACGTAGTCTGAAAAGAAAAACGTTACTGACCAACCATCTAATGCAACCTCTAGATATTGATGAAGTTGATTTCTTATCCAAGGCAGCTGGCTGTTAACCAATTGCTAATATTGATAGTTTCACTGAAGATGGATTAGGTTCTGCCGATTTCATTGAAGAAATTGAATCTTCCGGCTCTAAAATTGTTAAAATCACCGGTGTTAATCCAAAAAATATTAAATCAACTGTTTCAGTCATAATTAGAGATGCCAATAAATTGAATTTGGAAACTGAAAGATCTATTCATGATGCTTTATGTGTCATTAGAGGTCTTATTAAGAAAAAAGCTTTAATTGCTGGTGGTGGTGCTCCAGAAATAGACCTGTTTAATGAGAGAAGCTAATAAAAAATCAGGAGTTGAACAATTTGTTTATCAAGAGTTGCCCAAGCGTTAGAAGTTATCCCAGCTACTTTAGCTATAAACGCTGGTTTAAGTCCAATTAATGTAGTTACTTATTTAAGAAATAGACATGAAAACGGTGAACAAAATGCTGGTACCTCTGTAAGAAGATCTGGCACTTCAAATCTTCAACATGTCTTACAACCAGTTTTAGTTAGTATTTCATCAACCAGTTTGGCTTCTGAATGTGTTGAAGCAATCTTACGTATTGATGATATCACTTTTGGTCGTTAATTCTTTTTGTATACACTATTCATTTCAATTCCTCCCATATACCATTTAATACATAAATCTATATATTATTCTTTCGTTAACTGTTTGATTTTTCTCTTTATTAATTTATTAGGGTTTAAAGTGAAAAAGCATTTTTTATCTATATTAGCACTTTCTTCCTTAGTGGTTTCAGGTATTTGCTTTGATATCTTTACACATTTTCTAATTGTCCTAATGATAAGCTCATATTGTTCTCTTTGCGTTTTTTTAGATTCATCTTCTTCCTTAGCCTCCTTCTTTTCACCACCTTCTTCTTCTTCTTTAATTGGTTCTAGCTTCTGTTCTTCTTTGTCCGATAAAAATTTTCTCTTCAAATATTTCTCGGTTATACGTTTATCAACGTCATACATGGCTGCTAATGCTATTTGTGGCGGTGTGAATAAAAAAGTGGCATCACTGAGTATCCCATACTTAGTCAACCATTGTTTGGCCTTATCATATAGGCTCCCTAATGTATCTATATTAACATCATACATCACTGGATCTGGATGTAACAAAATTGCTTGAAAATCTAAAAAAAAACCATATAACGGTCTAAATGCATGATGAACAAATAATGTGAATTTTAGTGATTGTAATATTATGAATTCAAGATCAAGTATATCCTTTGGTTCAACTTTTGGAATTAATTTACAAAATGATTCAATGGATATAAAGTAATTTTCTGACTTGGCAGCTAAAAATAAAACAGTATATAAAACATGTTTTGGGTGGTATTGCATAGCAGAATTAACCAAGTAAAACCTCTTGAAAAATGACATGGCTGTTGCCTTTACTTGTGTAGGCATATTGAAAAAATTTCCTGTTACTAGTATTGAATTGCAATAGTATTGCAAATATTTCACCTCTTCTTCCTCTGTTAATAATTCTAGCATCTTGTCGGCTGTGAATTCATTCTGCTGTTTTTCAAACAATTCTGGATTCTCATTTGCTGCTTTACTTCTAGCCTCCTCGTATTTTTTAAGTGCTTGTGCCCTTCCTCCTTCATTGGTCTGTATTTTAGTTTCCTTCAACGATTCTACTGTATAAGACCACATGCGATATTGACTGGATCTTCGGTACAAATCATCCGTCGACACTCTTGGCTTCGTCTTCACAGGCTCTTCTGTTTCTATATCATTTTCCTTCTTCACTTCTGGATCTGGCATTGTATAATAACTTGGTATTGGAAGAGTAGTTTGTATAGTCAAAAGAAAAATTGAAAAATAGAAAAAAATTGAGTACTAAATATTTATCGCACATAACACGGCTTCTTGATAAAGTAGTATACATTGATAGAATCTGAAATACATAATTCTATATAAATTAAACCAATGTGGCTGATATTGATAAACCTTCTTAATACCAGTCTTTTCACTTTCCTATGGACCTCTTTTTTTCACTTCATAGACTTGTCTGACAGACTTTAGTTTCTTCATACTTTCTCTTTTTAATTCTGGCATTTCTGTCAATACTCTCTCTATTACAGAAAGTCCTTTTCTTCAGGAGTCGGAAGTTAAGGGCTCTTTTGCCCTCATTGTCCAATGAGTCTTGTAATTCGGTCAATTTATCTTCTTTAGCGGCTTTAACTGCAAGTTCGTTAATTTGGCTGCAATATTTTATAAATACCAAAGAACGTAAACTGAAAAGAAAACTTCTTCTAACTCCAAGATGTCTACTCGTGAAACATATGATACTTATTTGGAGGAAATGATGGCCAAAACGCTAGGAATTACGGTGACACGAGAATCATGGAAAAGAATGTCCCCATTTGAACGGTATCAAACGGTGGCAGATAGCATGCCTGAGCAAGAGGTCCAACGACTTTTGGCTAACGTCAGTGGACGATATTTTTCAATTCCGATGGGAGTAGACGTTGGTAAACCGGAGACCATCGTCCGAAAGAGATCCCATAAATGTGACGACCATTTCCCCGATGCTAACAGGGGTACTGTTCTCCAGATAATCTTTAGCTTAAGAGTTCAACTCATTTCTTGATAGGCTGACATTTTGCATTACTTACAAGCAAGTAGCGCAAGAATATAGTACAGTCTAGTCAGCAAAGCCAGCCATATGCCATATACGCCAATTACTCAACTTATCAAGTAACGAGCAGTTGAATAGTAGAAACAGTATAACATAACAGTATAACATAACAGTATAACATAACAGTATAACATAACAGTATAACAGTATAACATAACAGTATAGCAGTATAACATAACAGTATAACAGTATAACATAACAGTATAACAGTATAACATAACAGTATAACAGTATAACATAACAGTATAACAGTGACTGCAAAAGGATGTACGGAGGTTCACTTTGCTGGTGTACCGGTGTCAAAATTGAGATGTTCTCATTGGTTAACAGCCACTAGTACCAACCATCTAATGCAACATCTTGCAGTACAACACCCACCAAGTGGAATGGTGCTACCAGACGTGTAATGGAGTGTTTGGGTAGCCATCGAACCATCGGGTCAACAAGAGGCAGGTGGGGGTCGCGTGCACGGAGGTTTTGCTGGGACAAGGGTTGAGGTGGTACGACTTTTTTATTATACAAAAAAGTTCATTGGTTTTTCTCTCAAAATTTTAATTTTTTTTTTTTTCATTTCCAGGTCAATAACATCTTCTTTTAATTCCAGATATATAGCATAATGTTTACTAATACCATTCGTTCTGCTCTTAGAGCAAGAGTTGTTCCAACTCCAAGAATCGCCAATGTGATGAGAAGCCCAATGATCAGAAGTTTCCCAAACCAAGTTAGATTATACTCTGATCATCACGAAGAAACTTTTGAAGAATTCACTGCTAGGTATGTTAAAAATTTGATAATTGAGAATAAAGAAAGATACTAACGAGATATAGATACGAACAAGAATTTGAAGAAGCTTATGATTTATTCGAAGTTCAAAGAATTTTAAATAACTGTTTTTCTTATGATTTAGTTCCAGCACCAATTGTTATTGAAAAAGCTTTACAAGCATGTAGAAGAGTTAATGATTATCCAACTGCAGTTAGAACTTTTGAAGCTTTAAGACACAAGGTAGAAACCAATCAACAATATGAAGCTTACTTGGAAGAATTGAAAGATATTAGACAAGAATTAGGTATTGATTTGAAAGAAGATTTATACGCTGATGAAGCTTAAATAAAAGAAAGAAAGAACCAAAAAATTTATATATTCTAGATGAAATTTATATAATTGTCAAATGAATAACGACATTTATTATGATTTTTCTGTAATCATTTTTAAACTATCAATTGAAATTTGTTTAAATTCATCATTTTTATGAATTAATTTAGCTATATTTGTTATTAATTGATTATTTGTTTGAAAAATTTTTAAATATTCTTGATTATAAGAAATTGTAATTAAATTATTAAGTAAATATGATAATCTTATCATTAATTCATCATCATTAAATTGATTTTGTATCACTTGATTTATAACTTTAATCAATTCATTAATAATTTCCAGTTTATTCATTATTTGATAACAAATAAATTGATAGTCTTGTGTAGAATTAACCAATAAATTACTGATTGCTATTTGTAATCTATTATTAGTTGAATTTAATAACTTGATCATTATTAAACATCTTTTCAATACTTCTTTCTTATCAAAATTGAAAAATTTGGCCAACATTATTGGTTCATCAATTAAATTTGCAATTAATTCCCATGAACATCTTTGTAAATCTTCATTATTATCAATGATAAAATTATCTAAATATTGGTCAAATGTCTTATTAATAATATATTTTTTCAATTCTTGATCATTGATGGCTGATATATTAGTTAAGGCCATTAACGTTTCAAACTTATCCAAAGATGTTATATCATACAAATACTCTTCATTGAAATTTTTATTAATATTTGGTCCTAATAATTCAATTAAAAATGGTATACATGTTTTAATATCATATTTTTTAAATCCTAATTTTGGATTTATAGATATAAGGATTCTTGATAATGATCTTATTGAATTTAATCGAATCTCATTCTCTTTAATTGGACTTGTTTCTCCATTTTTAATTTTGCTGTGTTGTATCATATAATCAATGAGTATATTAATGGCTCCTTGCTCTACCATCTTAACTTTAACTTGTTTAGATTGGTTAAACAGTATATTATAAATAATATTAATAAACTGACTCATTATATTAGAATTCTTAACTTTCAAACTTGAAATTACTGATATAATATTTTGTTCATTTAACGATTCATTAAATGAATTTATCTCAGCGGGATCTTCTTTAAATTGTTGTTTCTCCCCACTCGGTTGACTATAATTTTTTAAATAATCAATGGTTTTATGATCTTGACTCTTATTATTATCTTTAAATTGACTTAAGTTAACAAATATTACTAAAATCCCATACACTATTTGACTCTCATTCAATGTAGGTAATACTCCAATCAATTGTTCAATTATACTTTGCTCACTTCTTAAACTCTTCTTGACCTTATGATTAATGGTTAAATATGCTAAAGATTCAATAATATACGTTAAAAGCTCGTCTTTATCAAGGTTATCAGTCTTATTAAAATATTCAACTAGTCTCGAGTATAAATCTTCAATAGAACAAACTTTTTTCTTATCCAATTGAATGAAATTCCATAATTTAATCGTGGCCAACACCGATAAGTATTTGATCTTATCATTTAAGGAGTTTTCGATAGCAAATGAAAGTAAATCTAAATAATGTTCAACATTGAATGAACGACATTTATCATCAATACACGAAGAGCAGACCAATCTCAAGGTTTCCACAATTATCATTTCATTTCTATTTTCAACTCTGATTTTTTCAAGGATAATTTTTTTCATCTTTTCAGTGGTATAAATTTGATTTATTATAGGAGTTATCGGAAACAAACATTCTAAAACTTTAACCAAGTTTAAATATTTCTTATTGGCAATGTTCAAGTGGATATCCTCGTCAACCAAGATCTCCAAATAGTCTTTAATTTGCTCATTTGACTCAGATTCATTTTTTTGTAAAAAGTTAATCACTATAAGTAAAATTAATGAATTTATCTCATCATTTTTCACATTTATTAGCCCCAATAAGATACTCAAGTGATGAGGATTGACCAATTCCAACTTTGTAATTAAATTGAAGTAAATTTTCAAGTAGCAAAGCGTGGATTCGTCATTCAATGACTCTTTCAAGAATCTCAGATTAACCTTCAACATCTCAAAACCCAAACGATTATTATCACGAACGTAATAGTGGAGAACATTGGAAAGAACCTTGATACCATCTTTATCCAATAGACCAATTCCATAAAGAAAAGCAGCATTATCTTCTTCCAACAAATCAAATAAGATCTTAGCACTGATATGGTTATCAGAACATTTGACTAGCGTTTCCACAACATTTGGAGTGATCAATTCCTTTGAATGGTTAATATTAAACACCCGGAGCGCTTCGTCAACTTGGCTATCCGATATATGGAGCCTATCTAGTTGTTCAGCGATAGATTCTGACATTTTGTAAAGAAGTTAGTACTTTGATCTGATCCATCAGCAAAAAACCAAATTCAAAGGAAAAAAAAAAAAAAAAAAAAATAGTTGACCAACAACAACTGTTTTACTAAGCTCTTTGAACAACCACAACACCAGCTTTACAAGTTAGAAGATGGATACTACTACTGTATTGGATAAATATACCCAGGATCTATCGAACCTACCGCTTGAAGTGAAGCATTTGCTTCAAGAGTTAAAGAATAAAGATATTCAATTAAGTGAGGCCAGAAAACGATACCAAACCAAAGATAACCAAATACACAAGTTTATAAGGTCAAATGGGACATTGACAAAGCATCCCAAGGAGCAACAGTTGTATAATAAGATTGAGGAGGATATGGAGACGGTCTCCAAGTTACAGAAGGAGAAAATATTATTATCTAATACTGCATTATTTTTAATATCAAAACATTTGTATAATTTTGAAACTGATATTGCTAAACTTGAAAGAGATGAGTTGTTACCACCAATAGAGAGTGTGTTAGAGGTCGAGGTAGACAAAGATGATACTCCTAGTATTAGTACTCCCAAAGTTAGTGTATCGATTGGAGAAGTTAAAAAATCGAGTGGAGTTAATGGTAGCGGGCTCAAGAGAAAGTCTATTAAGATGAACGGATCCACTAGACCAAACAAAAGGGCCAAGTCGGAAGAACTCGATGTTATGAATAAAAATGATGCATATAATCTTGAATCTTTGGCCATGGAGTCTAAATTCGAAAATGATAGTCTTGGAGTTTCAATAAATGACGCTGGTATTGGTGGTGGTCCTTTGGATGCTACTGGGTCAGCAAACTCTGCATCCTTACAATTGCATAGTGGAACCACCCCGGCAAATGGAGAGGATGCTGATAACCGATTATATTGTTTCTGTCAACGAGTTTCATTTGGCGAGATGATCGGATGTGATAACGACGACTGTAAATATGAATGGTTCCATTGGTCTTGTGTTGGAATCAGTTCACCTCCCAAGGATGATGATATATGGTACTGTCCCGACTGTGCTCCCAAAATGGAAAAGAGAAAGAAGAAGAGAAAGACTTAAACTAGTGATTCGGTAAGGTACGAGATTGCCAAGTGAGTATCCAGACCAGTCTACAAGCATACCAGGAGACTACTAGTATATCAGTATATCAGTATATCAGTATATCAGGATACCAGGAGACTACTAGTATATCAGTATATCAGTATATCAGGATACCAGGAGACTACTAGTATATCAGTATATCAGTATACCAGGATACCAATATACCATTATCAGTATACCATTATCAGTATACCAGTATACCATTATCAGTATACCAGTATACCATTATCAGTATATCAGTATACCAGTATCAGTATACCAGTATCAGTATACCAGTATACCAGTATCAGTATACCAGTATACCATTATCAGTATATCAGTATACCAGTATCAGTTTACCAGGGTACCCCCTGAAAGCTAGTCACCAGTACATAGTAATACTTTCTACTAAACTAGTAAGTACTGAAGTAGCAGAATTAGCAGTAAGTAAAGAAATGCTAAATATAAAAATGTTCCGGATGTACGGGCGTATAGTTTTGAGCACATAAACACCCCTTTGAAATAAAGTAAACAATTAGAACTAGACAAAACCAACATTACAACTTGAAAAAAAAAGCCATCTCCTTCATCTTTTGATCTAGTTATTACTCTTTCTTATACTCTTTCTTCGTTTCGATAAGTCAGAACTGGGATTATCCATACTTGTACCCTTAGGTATTGTTTTCGTTCGCTGTTGTATTCACTCGCTTTTTGTACAATCTATCTCATTAGACGAATAAGGCTTAACCATTACACGAGCTGTCTATTTTGAACCTTTGACTGATAACTGATAATTTGCATAATGAAGTTTTCGACTGTTGTATTGGGTTTGGCTGCTACTGGGTTGGTTGTTGAAGCAGCCGCTCCAGCTGCAGCCGCCGCCGCCGCTGATACTGCTACTACTGCTGCTGATACTGCCACCACCAATACTGCCACTACTGCTAAAGATACTGCCACCACCAATACTGCTACCACTGCTAAAGATACTGCCACCACCAATACTGCTACTACTGCTACCACTGCTAAAGATACAGCAGATTCTGATACTACCACTCCTAAGGATGCTGCCACTACTCTTGATACCACCACCACCCCAGCAGCAGTACAAGGTCAAGCCGGTGGTGGGGCTCCTGCTGCTGCTGCCCCTACTACCAACACCGACACCGCTGCTGCTGCCTCTGCTGCTTCAGCTGAAAGTGTTGCTAAAACTGCCCAGGAACAAACTCAAGATTATTCCTTTGTAACTACCATGGCTGCCAGAACTACCGCTTCCCAAAGTGATTCCAGTGCCTCTGGCTCCGGTTCTGGCTCCGGTTCTGGCTCCGATTCTGGCTCCGGTTCTGGCTCAAGCTCTGGTTCCGGTTCAAACTCAGGATCAAGCTCTTCTTCCTCCTCGGGATCTTCCTCTGGTGGCTCCTCTGTCAAAGTCAGTCTTGGTGCCTTGATTTCTGGTTTGTTTGTTGCCTCCTTGGGCTCCTGGGTGGCTCTCCTCTAATCCCTTTAGCTTTCCAAGCTCTTTACTTCTCTGATATCTCTTGTTTTTAGTTCTTTCGTGTTTCTTTGTATTTTTCGTTATTGATACCCATTCTTTACTGATAGTGTAGATACGTATGCGGTGTACGGGCCTAATATTTCGCCCTTTTGAAATATACGTGTGCAGCACAAGTTGAAAAAAGGTTAAAAATTTCAAAGAGCCATAAGCTCTTCATTAACTACTTGAAGTCAGAGCCCGATAATGATAAGAAGAACCCTTCTAAGGAATAACTTGAGGTTGTTCGGTACCAGTGCTAGACGTTTGAATGCAAACCCGTTTTTGTATATTAAGGATTTCGAAACTTTGAATACCAAAATTAATGATAATTTACTCAGTTTGAAAAATCCAAATGATGATTTAATCATCCAAGCTATAAAAGCATGTAATGATTTACAAAAAGATATACATGATTACGATAAGTTTTGGCAGGATCCAACCAACGAGAAATTATCGAAGAAAATATCCGAAATCTTATTCAATGAAAATATAACTTTTGATAAAGAATTATTAACTAAAATTTTATTACTTAAATTACCAATAGTAATTAATATTAAAATATTACAAGTTTTCTATGAAAGAAATCCTTCGAGTCATATAGATAAGTCAATTGCATTAATACCATTCCGTCATTCAATTTTCAATGGAGATTTGAAAAATTCATTAAAAATTATCGATTTAACAACTGGCCATCCAAATTATATAAATTATCGAAATGATCAATTAAAATCTGGTTTCAGTAAATTAATGTTGACTGCTGCTGGTATAACTCTATTTTCTAAAGTTGGTGTACAACAAATCATCGATTTGGGTTATCTTTCTTCAAGTTGGAGACATTTAGGCTCAATAAATTCAATGATTTTAACTTACCTTTTAAATTCGAGTTTTTTCATAACAATTGTTAAATTCGGAAGAACTTTAAAATCTTCTGGTGGTGATTTCTTAACGTGGCAAAAGGGTACTTTCTATAACCATTGGTTTAAACATTCTGATGAAATGTTAATGTGTTCAAAATTAATGGAGGCAGATTTTAAATTAAATAATTACACTGAAAATTCTCCAGAATTAGTTGAAGAATTATGTAGAGAAGACATAAACGTTAGTGGTGGTGGCTCAGTGTTAAAACCAGGGCTTACCAGAGATGGTCATAAGGTTAGATTATTGGCCCCAAAAGATAATATAGAAGATTTAAAACTTCAAGCTTATTGGATGAGTGGAGGTGATGGTTTTGAATGGGTTGAACCAGATCAAGATCCTGCTGAATTGATCTGGAGAAAGCATTTAGATAAATTCAATAAACCAAGTCTTAACAATGGTGATTCTACTAAAAAATTAAAATGGGCTGAAGAATTAATCGATGAAAAGAAAAATTGATTCTCTTGTAAATATTTATTCATATAATTCAAATATATTTAAAAGAAAGCAAAAAAAAAAAAAAGGAACGTCATTATTTACATGTATTAATAAATAGCTTGCTTACGATTGATGGGTTGGGTTTCCTTCTTCATTAATCACTCGACATTTAGGTATTAATCTAACATCATAAGTCGTATCAGATTTTAATTCATCCCAAGGCTCAAAATTATACCAAACCAATTCAAGGTCATCATCACTTTCAATACTATGGTTTCCCAACTGAATTGGAGACTTGGCATAATGTTCATTCAATTGAACTTTCCCTTTACCTTCCATTAAATCATCTAATCTACTAGCTTTGTTCAATTCATTAACATCTTTTAATTCTCCTTCCAATGAATCGTGACTTGCCTTGTCATTTCGGCCCTTTATGTGTTCATACGCTTCTTTGAATTTATCGTTATCAGGAAGAGGGGTTGTCTTTTGATGTAATTCAGGATTTTCATAAATTTGCCTATGAAGGATTTGATGATATGTATCTTTAGAAAATTCATCTAACCATGTATTAAAACTCATTGGCTTATATTGACGAATGGCTCCCCACCACCATGTAGGCTTGGATCCATTTTTTATCGCTAATCTTCTCTGATATTGTGCTTCATCATACCATGGATCATTTCCTATTCTGAGTCTTAAAAACTCGAGTGATGATCCTATACCAAATATTAATGAGAGAAATATCGAATACCCCTTCATATACTTATCGGGTCCCGACAACTGCGGATACCTTCTTAATTTTCGAAAATTATTAAATAGTATACCACTAGCAATCAATTGAGTACCAGTACATATATACAAAGCAGGTCTATTATCTGGAGCTGGCTTGAAAGGTCCCCAGAATATTAATCCAAAACTCGGGTTTTCAGGTATATATTTGCGAATAAATGATTCTACTCTCGAAGTATCGGTGGATTCAGATGATATTGTTAAACTAGAATCGGTACTGGTGTTGGTATCTGAACTGTTCTTTGATTGTCCTTTCTTATCTTCCTTGTCGTCAGAACTTGACCCACTCTCACTTGGCGGTGGTATGTAAACACCCATTGTGGTTATACTGAGTTTTTCAAACGTCAATGCTGTTGTTGCTGACTTAAGTTTTTATTTGAACAGTCGAATTTCTACGAAACTTTCGAAGCTTTTTCTCACTTGGAAAAACGCTAACAAAACGAAAAAAAAAAACAAAAAAACATAAAGCTAACCAATTTACAGCCAAATATACGTAGATACTAACAATGACTATTATGACAATTACATTTGAAGAATATGCTATAGATATAAGTTTTTCTGCTTAGAAATGGATAAGTCTTTGAGCCAAGGTATCGTTATGATGTTCAGCAGAGCTGATCGAATCTCTTACTTGTTTTTCATTTTCCAACTTAACACGGATAGCCTTATGTAAACTTGATAAGTAATCAGGGTAGCTTGGACCACCGCTTACCGTCACAGCACCTTTCAAAGCATCCTCCACTAGAAGTTCTTTGAAAAGAATTTCCGATCGGTCAATCCCTTCACGAATGATTTTTATACTTCCAGCACCGATTGGAGAGGCTCCTATGATATGAGTTTGGAAATGATTAACCAAATTTCTTGCTTGTTGAGAGATGTCAGTGGGTAACTCTGGTAATTCATCAAGAAGTGGGTTAATTTCTTTAACTTCTTCAATTTCTTCACCAAATAAATCTTTTATGAGAAGTATATTTGCATTTTGGTGGATCCAAACATAAACATCATCACCATTACATAAGATGTAAACTCCAAATTGTAAGTTATTCGTGGTCAATTCTTTGAATAATGGAATCTTAACGAAACCATGGATGTTTTCTGGAGTTTGGGGTATTAAGCAATCATCTTCTGCTAAACTATGCAATTCAACTAAGGCAGGATATAATTTATATACTATTCTGTCAATAGGCTCAGTTAAAATTTGGAATATTTCATTTAATCTAGTATCTGCTGGTATCCCACTAGCTTCTCTTATACTAAGGTGTTTGATGAAACCCAATAAATAAAGAGGTAAATGCTTCAAAGATTCTGGGAATATCAACTGTTTATTCAATGCACGGTTTCTGTTATGACCAATTTCACTCATTGCTCGATATTGAGAGAACACTTCTACTAATTTTTCATTAATTGAATCTCTGAGTTCCGATAATGGTTGTTTACCGACAAATGACAAAGTATCTCTAACCATGGTAGTGATAACAGAATCTTGATCAACAAAATTAAATACGTCTTCTAACCTTTCTGAAACTGCTAGAACCAAGTTAACTACTCTAACTTTACGAATCCCCTGTTGATCAGTGTAAAGTAAAGCTGCTTGGAAATGACAATCATACTTTGTATTCAAATCTCCATCATATTGTAATAACACTGTAAAAGTTTGATCTTCATTAAGGATAGGTAAGACAGGATCTTGAACTGTACCTCCAATCACGCTTAATTCCGAGATTGATGAACTAGTACCATAATATTGTGCAACCTGTAAACCATTGGAACAACGTAATTTCAATTGACCTTGATAACCAGTTGTTTTGTTGACACAATTAACAAATTTGGAAGTAAAATTACGCCCATCACGTTCAAATTCAAAGTCAGAATATTTATAAACGCTACCACCGGAAACATTAGCCAACCATCCAATATTTGATAGATCGACAGCCAGATTACAAACCACCAATACATCAAGACCAACATTCTTAGATAAGAAATCTTTGGCTAATGATTTATAATATTCATTATCCGGGAGGAAAACTCTTTTTTCAACTTCTGGTGAAGGACCACGTCCGATCGCCCTATTATCTTTGAATTTCAAACCACCAGGACCCCAAGAAGGTAAAGCGGATAAAATAGAAGTGATTTTACCACCACCAACTGATTCAAGACACATGGTGGCATAACGACAAGCGGCTGCGAAGCAAGGTTCAGATTCAGCCAAAGTTTCCTGTGAAGTCAAGGATTCCAAATTATTCAAAGCATCTTCAATGGCAAGTCTACTCTCTTCTGGGTCTACGAATAAGCCTTCATTGAAAGGAACGAAAGGATCTTCCAAATCTGCGGAAATCGAGATTTGGGTAGAATCAAGAGAAGGTGACAAATTATAAAAATGAAGACGTTTGTCGAAAGCAATAAGAGCAAACTTACCTTCAAATTTTCGACTTGGACTATCAGAATCTTCAAAATTGTAGAGAGTAGCTCTTATGGCATCAGCGACTAAAACAGGCAAGGAATGCTTAACACTATTTTCACTAACATCAAGTAAGAAAACATGATGTAATTCCTTATTTTCAGCACTTGCACCACCAACATTATATTCTTTTGGAACCATAATATCATAAACCCCACGATGTAACTCTGGCTTTATATCACGGTCGATTCTTTGACCCGTTGCTGGGTTGATCATTGAAGTATAATCCATTGGAACTGTATTATTAGGGAATTGACAGATATTACAAATAAAAGTATTATGATTGGTATGCTGCATTGAAGGATTCATATAAGTACGACAACGGCGACATCTTGGCGGACCTATATCCATTGGATCACTTGATTCATTTGAACCCAACTGCGACATATCGACAACTGGGATGGGATCTTCAGTTGGTAAAAGTGGAGCAAAAGGTCTGACTGTAACCGCAACTGGCAATTTAGTAGCAGCACGTAACTGTTCATTTTCGGGAACGTTATACATTGTTGGCCTCATGAATTTGGAGGACGCAGTTCCTTGATCTATTGTGTGATACTGGGTACCACCACAAGGAGGCACGATATTTTGGAAAGTAAGAAAAGACTTATACGAAGGATTTTCTGGGTTGATATTAGTTTGATACTCCAATTGATGAAAGTATCTGGCATTCGATAATGACAAGTCTTCAGTTGCATCCATAGGCCCGTTATGATAGCTGGCCGAACTGTCTTGGTAAGGTGAATGAGTGCCCGCAGCCGCTGGTGTATGGAATTGAGAAACACTTGCATTGAAAGGTTGGGGTTGACTAGTAGCAGGGGTATAAGGAGACGCAGCCTTAACATTGTTCATTGGGAACTGTGCTTGATTCGGAGTAGTAAGCCCATTACTAGCGCCATCGGGCACAGCTGGAGCATTGAACTCAGTATGGTAAGCACGATGACTTCTTTTCTTCTTTGATTTAGCCGTATTGACATTGCCCACTGAAAGATTTTGAAAATTTGTATCAAGATCTTCCACTGGATTTGGAGACACCGATCCTGAATTGCCGTTCCCAAAAGGTGGTGGTGGTGGAGCAAAGGACATGGTAGCTAGTCAATTCGAGCAATATTCTTCTTGAGTATGCTTCCTCTAGCGTTCCCTAGGGTTTCTTCTGGGTGGTTGGCCAAATGGAAAACAGAACCGATTGAAATTCCGAGATCAACACAAATGTCAAACAATGTCGCGAAACAAAAAGTCAAAGAGCGACATTACTACACCCGTGCACCTATTATAATAAATGTATATTTTGCAATACAGATATAACTATACAACTAAGCTTGGTCCAAGACTTTGGAAACATCACTGACATCAACACTGACATTGTCCGGTTCAACAAAGGTCTTGGAGACTTTACCGTCTTCGACCAAAAGGGCGAATCTCTTAGATCTGGCGTTCCCGAAGAATTTTGAAGCATCAAAGGACAAATCAAGTTCTTTGACAAAGTCACCTTTTGGATCGGCGAAAAATCTGATTTGATCACTACCAACTTGGTTTTGGATCAAAGAGTCACCGAATGCCTTGGTAACAAAAGCGTCATTGACCGTGACAACAAATAACTTCGTATAACCTTTTTCATTGAAAGCACGAATGTTCTTAATGTAGGCAGGGATTTGGTTACTGCAAGCAGGAGAGAATGCCCCTGGAATACCCAAGATGATGGACTTACCCTTAGCGGTTTCCTCACCAATGTCAATGGCAGAACCCGGCGAGTTTTCAAACAACGTAGCTTTTGGAATCGAGTCTCCAACTGCGACAAATCTTGGGGCAGAGGTCTTGAATCCACGGGAAAACAATTGTGGTCTTGCGGCTAATCTAAAGGATGGGAACATGGTCAATTGGCTGTTTAATATCTAAAGAACAAGTTGGTAAAGAAGAAGTAATTCAAAATTTGCATTAATCTTGCTGTTTGGTGAGCCACTCCTTTTTTTAGTGTGCGGTTGGATTTTTTTTTTTTTTTTCAATTTGTTTGTTCATCTTCTTCTTAAGCAAACTAGTTATAGACAATTAGATATGGCAGGGAAGGTATCGACAAAGACCACCACCGTCAAGCAGCAGAAGATATCCACCAAGAAAGCATTGGAGCTTTATAAGAATACTCTCAATTTCAATGTCATAAGTCGATACGATCCACAGATTAAACAATTACTATTTAATACGTCACATTGTGTATTATATAAGTTTAATGACGACGAGGAAGAATGGGTGAAGAGTGATTACCAAGGTACTCTAGCATTGTATTTACGAGACTTCCAGGTGCCTGCACAAGGAACCATACCATCGTACCAAGATTTACAGACGTTATTTTGTTATGGACTCATTTTACTAAACAGAAACAACCCAGAGTGTTTTTCAATCGGCTTATTACCAAACAAGGTGTCGACTCACTTTTTTCCTAACGGATTGAACAGTAACCTGGGGGTTTCTGAGATGTGTGCTGAGTTGAACGATAATTTAATCATCATCAAGAATCTTTTGGGTGACATCTACGGTTTGTGGATTTTCAACGAAGATGAACGTGACAAGCTCTTCAAATTGATAGAGTTCTGTCTCAATAACACCTCTTCTATCTTTTAATGAATTGTCTACGTCTTTTAATGTACATTATCTAGAAGTTAACGTAGTTGTAGTTTCCAGTCTTAGTATCGGTGTACGGGCGCGAAAAAAATGTTGTTGAAAAAAAAAAAATGCTAAATAAAATTAGAATAAACAGAAAGCTATTCATAAGCTTGAAAAGATTTTGCAGTTCTTTGAAAGTCAGGATCCCCCTTCCCGCTGGTGTTAATCTATCTTTTAGAGCTAGGCCTCTTTCAATATCTGGTAGTCTTTTGGTTCTTATACCCTTGAGTTGTTTGTTTTATTCTGCTCAGACTCCCGTTTTTCTCCAATTTACCGTTAATTATCGATTTCCTGAAAAATATACGGCATAATGATCAATACTTCTTATAATAGGAATGGGAGCGGCAACGGAAACGCCCCTGGGCTTGGTCAGAACAGAGCGGGCATGCAATTAGGTCAACAACAACAGCAACAGAGTCGTCAATTCCCACAAGGTTCGAATCAACAAGCCAAACAAAGTCTTTCATCAGTTGCTTCGAGGTTAACTCCTCAACAGATCCAAAGACTCACTCCTCAACAGCAGCAGATGGTCCGCCAGCAACAACAACAACAACTCATGCAACAACAATTGAAACAAGCTAGACAAAACTTACCCAATTATCCTTTCGCTACCACTAGTCAAGAAATTTTAAAAAAATTTTCAAAATATCCTCCTTCTTTGAGCTTTCATATATACGAATCACACTATAGATTCAATAATACCCCCGATTCAAGTATAATACCTCGTAATAGTCCAATGATTAAAGATTTCTTACAACATGTTGTTAGAGAAGAAATTCCAATCGAAATGACTGAATTGATAAAAGACTTTTCAATAAAGTCGTATGACGGCTGTCTAATACTACAAGTTTATGATCATAGAAACTTGGTAGCTAGTGATTCGAAATCTCCACATCCTAATACCCCTAACCCCAATACTAATAGTACTACTAATAATAACAACAACAATAATAATCCCACTTCTACTACCAATAGCACCAACTCCAATGCAAATGATGCTAATGGTACTAATCCTGCTAATAATGATGATAAAATTGAAAATAAACCAAATGACAAAAATGACCTTCAGGCAGGAGTTATACAAAAACCTAAAACTTATCGAACACTATTAAGACCCACTCAATTGTCATTATATTATGATTTACTTTATCATACGGATTCTGCCTTAACTAAATTCACCGATCCACTAGCTTTGCAAATGGAATCAGAGATTTTAAATACAACTAATAGAAAATTAGACCTCTCGGTACCGCTTAATCCTTACCTATGTAACGATTACTTATTACCAAAGCATGAATACCCTAAAAAAGTTTGGGATGAAAAAACTCAAGATTATAAGTTAATTCATCTGCACCGTGATGAAATTGAAAAAGACCCACGTAAATTACATCAAGATTCTCTTGTTATGCACAAATCAAGTGAATTTGAAGAACTCATGTTTTTGTTATCAAGCAAATACAAAAGAGCAGCTGATCAAGTCGGTGACAAAAAATTGGTGGTTGTTGGTGGTAACCCTTCTTCTATTACTTCATCAACACCTGGTCCAGAATCTAAAAGTGAAGAAGGAACTCCCGCTTTTGACAAAGATAAGAAGAACGATAAGTCTGTTAGTGTGGGAACTTCCGGAAACAACAATACTAATAACTCTAAAATAAGTAATACTGCCGCTGCTGCTGCTGTTTCTGGTGGTAGTAATGCTACTAGTAATCAATTTATGAGACTTCGGTTCATTGAAGAAATCAGGAAGAGGAAGGAAATACAGAAAGCTCAACAAGAAGCTGCAGTTGTCGCTCAAGCTCAAAATAATGGCATAAATACTATTAATCAATCTGCTCCAAGTAGTCAACTGCCACAAATGAATAATGAAACCCCAATGAGTCAACCTTCAGCAAGCCAAGCTGCTGCACAAGCCGCACAAGCTAAAGCTAGAGCCCAGGTTCAAGCTAGGGCCCAAGTTCAAGCTAGGGCCCAAGCGCAAGCTCAAGCCCAAGCCCAAGCAAGAATACAAGCGCAAGCCCAGCAAACTCAAGGTTCACCTCAATTACCTCAACAATCACCTTTGTCTGCTCAACAGCAGCAACAAATACCTTCTCAACCGCAAAATCAACAACAAATGATGGCTGCAAAAGTTCAAGCACAAGCACAAGCACAGGCACAGGCACAAGCGCTTAGGGTCCAACAAATGCAAGCACAACAAGCCAGGCAAATCCAACAAGCTAGACAGCAACTGCAGCAAAATCAAGCAAATAAGAGACAAAAAACTGGACCTGCAAATTCAAATCCTAATATTCCTCAACAACAATTCAACTCCATTGGAAATAGTCCTCAAATGGGTAATTCTCAACAGCCATCATATAATGGAACCCCTGTTATGAATAATGGTAACATGGGGACTCCGCGTATGGCTTCTGCTGTTCAACCGGGTCAACAAGGTCAAAATCAACAAGGTCAAAATCAACCCCCATCTCAAGGTCCAACTCAACCTCAGGGTCAAGGATCTGGCCGTCCACAAACTTTACAACAACAACAACAACAACAAATTTTCCAAAATTCTTTAACTCCTCAGGAACAACACATCTTCAAACAACTTCAAGGTAAAATGAATGCGTTAGCTATAATGGGTAATACTGGTGTTGCACCCAATAGAGCTCAACTAACCCCACAACAACAACAACAGGCTATCCAACAAGCTAAATTGATTCAACAGCAGTTACTTCAAAAATTTCCAGTCTATTTTCAAAGACTTAGAGAGTTGCAAATTAACCAACAACTTAGAAGACAGGCAGCTGCAGCACAATTACAGAGACAACAACAAATGGCAGCTGCAGCCAACGGTGGTAACAATGGTAATGTAAATTCACCGCAAATGGGCCAACGTCAGAATGTTGCAGGTAAGTCAATTCCAGGTGGAATGTCACCACAACAACAACAACAATTGTTGAATCAACAAGTTTTACAACAAATGGCAAATGGAATGCTGGGAACAAATCAAGCCCAGCAAGGTCTGCCCCTATTACAAAATGAGACACCTAAAAGACAATATAAGAAAAAGAATTAATATATTCTACGGTTTGCCCCATAAAAACTGTTCTTTTGTTCTTTTTAATAATTTTTTCTTTCTTCGATTTTTCGAGTTATTCGTATTATGAATTATCGCTAAACGTTTGTATTTTTATTTCAACTTAATAAACATGAACCATCGGTTATATTTACTACAAATTAAAATTTTGAAGTATTATATTATTTCAAGAGATTAAATAAAAACAAAACATTGTAAGCAAATGGCAGAAAATAGAAGAAGAGAAAAAAAAAAAGGAAGAAAAAAACAATATATAATTGTAGGGTATAATAAATTCATAGGATATGGCTCCCACCATAAATAACAAAAAACAAAAACTGTATAAAAATTGAGACGCTAAACTTTCTCGTTCAAATAAACAAACCAACCTTGTAAACCAAGAAATAACGGAGTATGAAGAAAAAGATATAACAGAACGAATTGAAAAACACCATTGATAAATACAAACATGAAATCTTAGTTCTCATTTTCAGAAGTAAGAGTACTACCATAGATTCCAAGTGCAAGAACAGTTCCAACCGCATACAAGACAGCTTTACTAACTTCAATAAATGCACGCTTGGTCAATGATGGATTGTTTGGCTTAGGTCTTTTGATAATATGCTCATGAGTGATTTCAGTTGAGTTTTTAAAGTCTGCATCATCACTTTCAACATCACTAAAAGATCTCTTTCTTGGTCTATCTTCTTCAGAGGAACGAAATTCTTTTTTGATACCACTATCCCCATCTTCAAGTGAATAAATGTCATCCGAATAAACAGTCCAACAAGGTTCATCTTTAGCATGATTAACACCAAAATCTGATGCAAGCTCGGTTTCTTCACCAGAAAGGCCGGAGCCAACTTTCCCGTTATAATATGGGGTAGAATCACTCGAACAATCACTAGCATCAACCAACCAAAATGATTTAGGAATCACTGAGGTTATGTTAGAGTCACTCGAACTATCAGATGACATCTCGGAATCAGAAACATCTTCTTTATCGTGATTAGCATCAGATTTGCCATGGTCCTTCGTTTCTTTATCGAGAACTACTTTATAAAACCTTTCAGATTGAGGCTCTGAATTGGAGCTTGAATCAGAACTAGAGTCAGAACCAGAATCAGAACCAGAATCAGAACCAGAATCAGAACTAGACTCAGAGTCAGATTCAGTATTCACAATTTCCGAACTCTTTGGAGGCTTACCATTCTTATTATCAACTTCATTAGTTTCATCTGGAGAAAAGTCGTCATCATCATCGTCTTCCGGTTCGAGATCAGAATCATTAACTAGATAATTAATTTTAGGCGTTTTCACGAAAAAATTAATTTCATCTTCAGACATACCATCAGAGATGAACTCGTCATCAACATCGTTTTTCGTTTCAGTGAAAACGAAGTCTTCATCACTTTCATCTTCTTCTTCAGAATCATTCATAACGTATTTAACTGGTGGGTTCTTAACTATATAACCAAAATCTTCTGAGAC